TTCTTTTCAATGATTACATACATTTCTTTTTTTTTTCATTTTCGGTTTCTCATTTTCTCTTTTCCCCCTCTGCTACACTCATTCTTCGTCAATTTCTTCTTCTTCGTCTTTTGACCATATTGACCATATTCTCTAATCGTTTTCTTCGTGTGCTTTGAAATAGGATATCGCACATGCCATAAGGTCGCAGTCCTCTTTTTCGTTCTTCAATCTTAAAATTTTCCTTCAAAACGTAATAACTACTACTTTTCTCTGTCGAAATATCTCGAGGGTCCCTCTTTGAAAAACGTATATTTCGTTTGTGCATGTGCATGCATGCATGCATGTGCGTGCATGTGTGCGCGCGCATGTGTGTGTGATAGTGAGAGAGAGAGAGAAAGAGAGAAAGATGGGATCTTCTTTTCGGTCGTCACGCTCGATCACTACTCGAACATATACCCCATGATCCTTACGATTTTCACGGGTCGCAGGTAAATGCCGCTTTGCCGTGCAGGCTAATGATTTACGAGAACCATCTGAGAAGGATCCATCCATCCATCCATCCATCCATTCGTCCATTCGTTCGTTCGTCTGTCCGTTTGTTCGTTCCCTCTTCCACTCCTCCCTTCTCCTTTTCACTCACCTTCTCCTTCACGTTTGCTACTAACCCTCTTTATACCTTCTTGTCGGGGAATTTCTTTGAAGCAGATACGTCATTAACGTTTCGTTTTTAGGTCTAATCATCATGATTTCGGTGATATTTTTTATTTTCTTTTTTTTGTTTCTCTCTCTCTCTCTCTCGCTCTCTCTCCCGCTCTCTCTCTCTCTTCCCCCTTCCCTCTCTTTCCTGTTTATTCTATTCTATTTATTTATTTGTACTCTTTTGCTTATTGACTCGTCGAATTATTGAAAAGTGCCCAATCATGGGGGTATTTAATCTCGTTGAATACGATCTTTGAAAAATGTTGCATTTTAAAAAGCAACGAAGTTTGATCGTTGCGAATAAATGTATTTCATTTAAATAAAAATCTTAAGATTTGTTGTATCGATTATAAATCGTATTAACATGTTTACACGTGTGTAATAATCTTATTTAGATTAGAATCTTATCGTATAAATTAGAACGTTTATTAATTTTATCTATATATACACACACACATACACACACACACACATACGGATGTCCATTTACGTAAGCAAATCGACGTTCATACGGATTTATACGTAAACAATGTTTTTTTTTTTTTTTTAGACAATTTTATCTATTTTTCTACATCAAAATGTTCTTTCGTACGTAGTTGAATTATTATTTCGTAATTTTATTATTATTCTACGAGCAAGAGAGAGATAGAGAGAGAGAGAGAGAGAGAGAGAGAGAAAGAGAGAAAGACAACGGGCGCGGGAGTGAATTAGTATTCTGTTTAAATGCAAGTAGGAGGTATGTATCGTACATACCTAAGTTCAAGTAGAATTTAGAAAAGAGACAAAGAGATAAGAAGAAATGGAAGAAGAAAAAAAAAGAAACCAAAAGAAAAGAAAAGAAAAGAAAAGATAGAATAGTTGGAAGGAAATGTTTCGAGATAATGTGTCACGTGGGTGAGAGGGATGAGAGGAGGACGCTGGGGGAGGTAGAGGGGTTTAACGAAAAAGATGTGTTAAGGTTTTACGTCTCCAATTGAAAACGGAAATACATATGTACCTATGTGTATACGGTATGACAAAGTTTAGAAACGACCATGAAAGAAGAGAAGAGAAAAAGAAGAGGTAGAAGAAGAAGAAGAAGAAGCAATAGTAGTAGTAGTAGTAGTAGTAGAATTGTCGTCGTCGTATTCGTATTCGTCCGTTCGATCTATTTGAAAGTTTCTCACGTTCGCGTGGCAAATGACAATTCCATGTTTCACGGACATGAAGCGCGCGAGGTTCATGGAAGTTAACGAGGAAATGAACGACCCAGCAAGAAATCGTTTATCCTTCGTATTCACTCGTCGCCTAGAATAAGAGGATAAGTTCTTGTACGGGACACCTTCCTCTTCCTTTTTATCCTCTCCCCCTCCCCCTCTTCCTCCCCCTATTACACCCGTCCATTGCACTGCACTCCATTCCGCGTGTCACCCCCTTTCTCTCTTTCTGCCCCTTATCCTCGACTTTTTCGCGCTTCGTCTTCCTTCTTTCTTTTCTTCCTTTTTCTTCTTTTTTCCTTTGCCACCATGTAGAATTGCCTTTCTCGCGTAGGAGGTAAAGACGTCTGCGTGAGAGTTGTCGTTGCATCCGGGATGAGTGCAACGATTTACGTTTTCGACTTTCTCTTGGTTCTCATGAAGAAAAGGGGATGGGCTTAAACTTGATGAGCATAAATATTGAGAGAAAAAGAGAGAAAGAGAGAGAAAAGGAAAGATAGAGATACATGGATAGTTTATTAAACGTTTAAGTACGAGTAGGGTATATCAGACACATATATATACATATATATATATATACATATATATATATATATATATATATATATACATATATGTAAAATACGAATTCATCTCAACACGTAGAAGAGAGTGAAAGAGAGTGAGAGAGAGAGAGAGAGAGAGAGAGAGAGAGAGAGAGAGAGAGAGAGAGAGAGAGAGAGAGAGAAATGTATGGATAGTTTATTAAACGCTTAATGAGTAGGATCTTATATATCAGATATATATATGATACAAACTCTCTCTCTCTCTCTCTCTCTCTCTCTCTCTCTCTCTCTCTCTCTCTCTCTCTCTCTTTTCTAACGTTAGATTTATGATACACGTCATTTAGACGGATTTGAAATTTCATCCTTAAAATTTTCTCGAGGAATCATTCTGTATTATTAAGGAATACATCTTGACTTTGATTGATGTTATGATATCAATACATATTCTAATTTATTTTCGACCTTCTAATCTGTATATAGTATAATATATCAATAAATAAATAAAGATATATATATATATTTGTATAAATATATATACATATATAAGTAAATGTATAATATTTATAATATTTATATTTATAATATAATATATATATATTTATTTATTTGTTTATTTAACGAATTTAATAAATATTTCAAATTTATGCGAGATAAATTAAAAACTGAAGAAATGATTTAAAATGCGTTTTGCTTGTGATTAACAATTACATTATATTTATTTATCGTAACGAAAACAAGATCTTTGTTCAATGTGAAATGATTTATAAAATGATTTATAAATGAGATAGTTAGAAATACAAATATATAAAATGGTACGATTTATACGAGGAATATATATGTAGTGATATATAATGATTATAATTATCATCATCATCATCATCATCATCATCATCATCATCATCATCATCATCATCATCATCATCATTATTATTATTATTAACAACAACAATAATAACAATAAAAAAAAAAAAAAAAAAAAAAAAAACAAGGAAAAGCGTGCGGTGCACGAGATCGATTCAAGCGCGGAATTCACGAAGGCCAGTGAGTGTGGCCAAAGCGAGTTTAGATGCGACGGAGCGCGTATACGAGCTCGACCTTAGTCTCTTGATACTTCCGTCAGCTAAGACGGCTAATCGTGCATAACAACGCGCGATGAAGGAGGTGAAGGAGGAGGTGGAGGAGGGAGGAGGAGGAGGAGAAGGAGGTTGCTTCTAGAAGAGAGATCTCGTTCAACTAGTAGGAGCGTCCTCGAGATTTAGCGCGTACGGAAAATAAACGAGCGAGCGTGCTGGTAATAGTTCGCTTGTAGAGTAGTTCCTAGTTGTGTAGTTATAGTTGTTGTCGTGTATTGTTATTGTTGTTGTGTTTTCGTTGTTGCACGTCGAGGAATATATCTCATGAATATCCCGTTATGTTGTAAGATTCTGTCGACGTGCGTTTCGTATCGACCGGTTACCGGAAAATCTTTCCCACGGAACGGTATTCACGTTATACGGCATTTTCTTTTTTCTTTTTCCTTTTTTTTTTCGTTTCTTTTATTTATTTATTTACTTATTTTTTTAACTTGTCTATGGTGTTATAGAGTTGAAACAAACCATTCGAATTATCCTTTTTTGCTATTATATATAATATTTGTGTACACTTATATGTATATATATATATAATGTGTGTGTGTTTGTATGTATGTATGATGCATTTAATGCATTAATATATGCATAATATATTCAATAGATACATACAATATAATACACGCATGTAATGCATTTCAATAAAAATCCTACAATATACTGGTATACGTGCGATACATCTTAATGGAGACTTACGATACATTACACATATGTAATTTGATTCAATACAAACATAATATATATATATACATATACATATATATATATGTATATTATACATATATAATGATTTTCAATAGAAACGTTATATGGTATTACTACAAACATATATATATACATACATACATTTTAATGTATAGAATACGTAAGAAAGAGAGAAAAGAGCAATGGAGGGACTAAGGTTCTCTCTTAGCAGCTCTCTTACGTACTTTCGAGTCTCGACCCAATTGCTAAGCAAAGCTAATACTTTTGCCTCTGAATATGCATTACGCGCGTGCTCGAACAATGAGCAGGCTTACCGCGCGCTCGCGCGTGCTATCGGCAAAGGATCGCCGTAATTGCATCGACGGTCCTTCGCGTCGCGTAGCGTCGCTTTTTGCGCAATGCCTTGTTTAAAGGTTTACCGAGAAGCCTTCGTAAAATATCAACGGACGAGGAGAGACTATATCGAAAGCTTGTTAAGAGAGTAACATGAAACGATCCGTAGTATGTAACTTGCTAAAATCGAACGAGTTTTTTTTTATGTTGGAGAATTGGTAGAGTTGAGAACAATTATTGCATTATTTTCATTTTTCTTGCGCGTTTGAAAGCACGCGAACGAATGAGCGAGCGAGCGAGCGAGAGAGAGAATTGCTTCGTTTATCCTTTTTTTTTTTGGTCAATCTCTGTTTCCATGTATGCTACGAGATATAATCATTTAATCACATTTGTTATATTTTTCTATGTTACAGACAAAAAAGAACAATCCGAATCACATAAAACGGCCGATGAACGCGTTCATGGTCTGGTCACAGATCGAACGCAGGAAGATTTGCGAGGTCCAACCGGATATGCACAATGCCGAAATCAGTAAACGACTTGGTAGACGTTGGAAAACATTGGACGAGGCCGAGAGGAGACCTTTCATCGAGGAAGCTGAAAGATTAAGGCAATTACACATGATGGAATATCCGGATTACAAGTACCGACCACGGAAAAAGACAACGAAACCAGCGCCGGCGCCAAAAACTAAAGAATCCGCCGGTAAGAAACCGAGGAAATCGTCAACCTCCTCAAATTCCTCATCTTCCTCTTCCTCGTCTATTGGCGGTTCCACGCCATTATCACATTCGAAATCGCGGAACGACACAAACAACAACACGCAGACACCATCGTTGAAGAGGTTGCAGGCTCAACCGAGCACGAAGCCAGTTTCAAGGTTGAAGGTCAGATTGGCCCTTAACAAGAGGCCTCTCGACTATACACCAGCTCCACCGATCGTCACAGCTAAAGTACCAAGCAGTCCGTCCTGCGACACGCCGGATTCTCCAGAGTCTGCTAGCTTTTACGACGACAATTATCACGATAACGGTCCAGCCGCTGTGGCGGCCGCAGCTGCAGCCGCAGCCGCGATTGTTGGCGGTGGTTCGCATGCCGGTTTACCACCCCCTTTACCATCTACCAGCTCGTTACTTGCCACTAAGATCAAGCAAGAGTCCGCATCGATCATGGATATGGATTACAAGACGACATCGACGACGAATACCGCGACACCGACTACCAGCTATACGAAGGACAGACTTTTATCATCCGTCAGAGGAGCTGAATCCTTTTCTACCTCCTCCTCCTCATCATCCTCTTCCTCCTCTTCCTCCTCCTCCTCAAATATCTCCTCATCGTCCTCCTCGTCGCTCTTAAACTCCGATGTCGACAGTCTCGGCAGGAGCACCACCACGGTTAGATCATCCACACCGTGCCATCTCGATGCTCATCATCAACAGCAACATCCCTTCTCCATCAAAGAGGAACCCTTGGATCCGACTCTCGCCACGGCAACGACGACAATTGGCACGAGTCTTACATCTTCCTCATCCACCTCCTCGACATCCCCTACGAATAGTACCGGATCCATCAAGCTCGAGGAAGTATCAGGAAGTAATCCAAGCCTAGCCGATCTCTATTCCCTTACCGATCTCTTACAAATACAACAGTCCGATTTCAAGCTGGACCTCGACATGGAGACAATTACGACCGATCTTGACACATTCGAAACTGCTAGCTCGAGTAGCGGTTCACACTTTGAATTTTCTTGCATGCCCGATGTCACGGACATGTTGTCGAATATAGGGGTCAGTAACGAGTGGGTTAGCTTTTGAGTTATCTACGACGATGGCGACTACCTCTCGATCAACGCGTCGATCGATTTTCTTACGTCTATTAAAAAAAAGCATATATATTTTATCCCTTATCCGGTTAACCGAAAGCGGACTCGACGATCTCGATTTCTCCAAACTACGAGTCTCCTCGGATCACCTTTCCGAAAAAAGCACATCTATCAACCGCATAGCGCACCACCATCACTAACGTTCTCTCTCTCTCTCTCTCTCTCTCATTCTTTCTCTTTTTCTTTTTCTATTATTATCTATTTGTGCCCCGTCATCTTTTACGGTTTAAAGGGACAGGACGATTAAAGCGGCCCGACACCAGACGTCATTCTTTTACCAAACATATTTCAACTCGTTCTCATGCTGCTTCGAGGCGTTTCGAAAAGAAGGAAAAGGAGTAAGGTATAGAGGGAACAGGGGAGTGGGAGGTGGAAGAAGGTGAGAGGGGACAGGGGCAGGGTTGAGGGAGGTAGTATGCCTTAGGGACGACCGGAAACGGCCATCGAGAGTATATGTATATAAAGAGGGTCTGGAAAAGAGGCACCAGCTGTGTTCTCCCTTTGCTCTTTCTCTTCTTCCGGTACCCCCTCCGATTTATCCTACATAGTTATCTCTCTCTCTTTCCTTACTTCGTCCATGGAATTCTTCGTACCCTCGTCGTTGTCGACCGAATTTAAACCCACGGTCAGCTGATCGCCAGCTGGTGCGGACTACTCGAATTCCTTCTTTTCACGTCCCTCGGAGAAAATTATCGTGAGATCGAAAACGTAAGAGAGAGAGAGAGAGAGAGAGAGAGAGAGAGAGAGAGAGAGAGAGAGAGAGAGAGAGAGAGAGAGAGAGAGAAAGAGAAAGAGATAGAGATAGAGATAGAGAGAAAAAAGAGAGAGTATGTGTAAACACGAAAAATAAGATTCTATATATCTATCTTTCTTTTTCTCTCTCTCTCTCTCTCTCTCTCTCTCTCTCTCTCTTTCTTTCTCTCTCTCACTGTTTCTTTTTCTGGTAAATTAGATTGAACATCCAACATGTAGGTGGTGCTGCTCTTCTTCCTATAACCCTCTTCTCCTTTTTATATACCATCATCCTTATTATTTGTCGACGCGGAAATCACCGAAACTGCCGTCACTAATAACCACAACCAATCAATCAACCATCACCACCACCACCTCCTCCATCTTTTCCAAGCCGATTCTCACCGTCGTTGGTTACTCTGTTCAACAAGAAAAAAACATACTTGATCCCAAGATGATTAACTTCGATGTATAATGAAAGATTTCAAATCGATATGTTCTTTTGTTCTTATTTTGTATATGTATTTGTAGCATATTAGCAAGTAAGCTAGAACTTTTTTCTTTTTTCTTTTTTTTTTTTTTTTTCACGATTTATATGATCGCGGATAGAGAGAGAAGAAGTGTGTTTTTGTCAGGAGCCAGCCGAGCAGTAAAACGATCCTCGCGACGAGGACGATACGACGATGATGATATTAATAATAATAACGATGATGATGATGATAATGACAATGACGATGACAATGATGATGACGATGATTATGACGATGACGATGATGATTGCGACGATAATGATAATGATAATGATAATTATGATATCGGCGAAGATGACGACGACGACTACGACGACGACGAGGATTCGTGAGCTTTTCTTTTTTACCATGTATTTTTTTTCTTACTGATTTCTAACAAATCATACGATCATTTCGTTCGTTTTACTTTGTCTTCTCTTCCCTTTTTCTTTTGCTCTCTTTTTTCTTCTTTTTTCTTCTTCTTTTTTTTTTCCCTAATACCTACGCGACGATCGAAAGAGAGAAAAACAAATGTGTTTGCGAGGGAAGGGGAAAGAAAGAAAAAGAAAAAAAAATATATATATATATATAAATCAAATCGATCCTCTTGTTTCCACGTCTCGCGGTGATGATCGTCGCTCGAACGGCTCGAAACCCCCTTCCGTTGTGTATATCTTTTTTTTTTCTTTTTTTTTTTTAGATATATATATAAATATATATATATATATATATATATATATATATATATATATATATATATTTAGTAATATATTAACTCTCTTATACTTAGTGTGTATAAAACGCCAAAACCGAGAGGGAGAATAGGTGATTATATATGTCGCTTAAGACGGACTAAAAAAATCTTTATCAAACTTCGTTTCTTCATATACGTTTTCTTCATATTCTTATTATTATTAATATTAATATTATTATTATTATTATTATTATTATAATTATTATTATTATATTATTATATTATTATATTATTATTATATTATTATTATATTATTATATTATATATTATATTATTATTATTATTATTATTTTATTTTATTTTCTTCGAGTTTCCTCTTTTATATAAATGCGTTGAAGCCCGCCGAAGGAGCAGCAATAAAAAGAGAGAGCCAATGATTTTTAAAAAGTATCTTTTTGCGACACGAACGATCTTGACTCTCTCTCTCTCTCTCTCTCTCTCTCTCTCTCTCTCTCTCTCTCTCTCTTCTCTATCTCTATCTTTATCTCTCTCTCTCTCTTTCTCTTTCTCTCTCTTTCCCTTTTCTATCTCTATCTCTATCTTCATCGTTTCTCAAATGACGAAATGAATGTCCGTTTCTTTTTTTTTTTTTTTTTATTTTGCTTTTGTTCGTTTATTTGCATTTTCTCTGTTTCATTCTGTTTTTTGAAATTGTTTCGAAAATATGAAAAAGTTTGATATAACGCTATTTCGACGGACTTCCGCGTTCTGCTATCGTTGTTTAATGCTATCATCGATATATTAATGATAATGAACGAGTTAACCTATCAAGACTCTTTTTGTATGAGATATGATAAAGTCGCAAACACACACACACACACACACAGTTTTTTCTTTTTCTTATGTTTTCTTTTTCCGGTATTTCTTTCTTCTTTTTTTTATTTATTTATTTTTATTTTATTTTTTTTTTTTAGTCATTAATATGTCCGATTAAAAGCCTTTTACGATCTCATATCATCCGTGGCTTTGTAATATGTAATATATTTACATATATAATGTGTATATTCTCTTTCTCTCTCTTTCTTTGCTGTATATATATATATATATATATATATATATATATCGAACAAGAGAGATGATATACAAGAATAAAGAGTAAGAGAGAAAGTAATCAAGAGAGAGAGAGAGAGAGAGAGAGAGAGAGAGAGAGAAAATTAAAACGTTTTGAGTTTTAAATCATACAATTAAATCATAGTACTTTTCATCAATTTCTTTCCATCACGTAAATTTTTACGTTAATTATCTAAGACGACGAGTCATCGAAGCGTGTCTGTGTTAGAAAAGAAAAAGCGCGCTAATCAAAACTTTGATCTCACATTCTTATTAACAATTCTTATGAGATATCGCATTAAGCATTTTCTTCATTTTTTTTTTTCTTTCGTATAATTATTATTAATCGTTAACGATTATAGATTAATTTTATTTTATACAGCGAACACTCATAATGCCAGCGATAGCACTACCATACATTTATTTTATTTTGTTTATTTTCTTTTCATTTCTTTTTCTATTTACTCAGGTTTTTTTTTTCTTTTCTTTTCGTTGATTCCATTTGATCTAATGTTACTCTCTAGCCTTTTCTCGAGTTTCTTTCTTTTTTCTTTTTTTTTTTTTAGTGATAAAGATGATAAGAAACACATCGTTATATATATATATATATATATTATATAATTTTAAAAAATATTGATATTGCATTATTATTATTACTATTATTACTATTATTATTATTATTATTATTATTATTATTATTATTATTATTATTATTATTATTATTATTACCATTTTTATGATTATTATTATTATTACTATTATCAATGACGGCATTATTAGTTATTACATCATTACTTCGATGATCAATCGAAAGATTAATCTTATCGTTAAATAGATGACGATAAAGGCGCGACGATTATGACGATTAGATGAGTAGATAAAAAAAAAAGAAAAAATAGAAGAGATAGCGTTCGAATAATTCGCGTATAAGATATAAATTACATTATTGCAACGTACGATCAATAATTTTTTTTTTACATTTACTACTATTACTACATTTTTCCCAGTATATATGTCGTGTCTCCTGTGTGTGTTCTATTGTGAGAAATTGAATTAAAGCACCAAAATCGAAAGTTATTTCTTCGATATAATTTCATTAGTAATGAAAGAGAGATAGAGATAGAGACAGCGATGGAGGGAGGGAGGGAGGAAGATAGAAAAGAGGTATAGAAAAGCAAAAAAGAAAAAAAAAAGAAAAAAGAAGAAAAGAAGAAGAAGAAGAAGAAGAAGAAGAAAGAATTCAACCAAAAGCAAACGTAACGAAAAGGGAATACAGTGCCTACCATAACTCCGGTCTCGAAACTCTCGTACAAAAATCTCATACAGGGCCAAAATATAAACAAAACAAAAAAAAAAGAGGAGGAAAGTATAATAGGAGGATGAATTTTAGATTAAAAAGGAAAAAAAAGAAAAGAAAAGAAAAAGAATAATACGCGATTGTTAAACATCGAAAATGTAAAGTAACGTAAAACGTAACGGGGGGTTTATTTTTTTTATTTTTTTTATTTTTTTTTTTTTTTTTAACTGGGCCATTTGAACGAACGAACGAAAGAAAAAAGAAAGAAAAAAAAAGAAACAAACGAACAAAGTAAAAAAAAAGAAAGGTGTGGAGATAAAACGAGCAAGTATCTCTTTTTCAAATAGAGGGATACGGTGGTGTTGGAAGGGAAGAGGACGACGGGGTGGAACAAATATTGTCTTGATTAATAAGAAGTGAATTTTTTTTAGTATTTGAGAATAAAGGAGAGGGATGGAGGAAAGGGTTGGTAGAATAAAAATACAAATACAAATAATATAATAATAATAATAATAATAATAATAATATAATAATAATAATAATAATAATAATAATAATATAATAATAATAATAATAAACAGAGAAAGTAAATATTCCAAATTGTTGAAACGTCCCGAAGAACAAATGAATGAACGGACGAACGAATAAATATGTGGTATAAAGAAGATAGGAAGAAAAAGAAAAAGGAGGCTGGAGGGTGGACAAGGATATATAAGAGGGAGAAATAAAACACTATAAACTAATACAGGCTGTGAGACTAACTAGAAAAATACAGGCGTACCTGTAAAGAGATGAAAAAAATGCGTAACCGACGGGCGAATCGTTGAGATTGAGACAAAATTAACTCCTGCCTTTTTCGGTGTCTTCAGAAAAATAATAATAATAATAATAAGAAGAAGAAATAAATAAATAAATAAATAAATAAATAAATAAATAAATAATAAATAAATAATAAATGATAATAATAATGATAACGATAACGATAATGATAACGGTAATGATAATGATAATGATAATTTAAAAGAAAGAATGAAAAAATATGAAAGATAAAATAAAATAAAATAAAATAAAATAAAATAAAGGACAAGTTACCAAAATTAGCCGATGCACAAAAGCTTCGAGTTAGCCTTCAGTTTCCTCGGCGATTCGTTAGAGGTTGCGTGCAAAAGTGACAAACGAAAGAAAAGAAAAGAAAAAAAAAAGAAAAAAAAAGAAAAAAGAAAGGAAAAGAAAAAAAAAGAAAAAGAATATTAAACAAGAGAATTACTGCCAGTGTATAATAGTAATAATAATTGTAGTAATAATAATTGTAGTAATAATAATTGTAGTAATAAATAATAATAATAATAATAATAATAATAGTAATGATGATGATATTTAATAATATCAATCTCCAACATTATGGAAAGATGAGTGAAGAGTGCGCTGGCGAATCTGTTCAATTCGATGATC